AAAAAAAATCTGTACACTTGGGCAAATAAGATAAGGATCCTCTTTGGAGACAATCATAGGTGCCTTATCACTCCAACTGCAATACTAATTTGCAAATTTTATATAGCAATAAGCTGAATACCACTTAAATACTCTTGGCTACGATATTTTTTTTCTTCAGAAAATAAGAACCTGAATAGCCAAAATGCTAACTACCATTTATGTAACAACCCAACCTTGGGGAAATGCAGGTTCTTAGTTGTGGATTTTTACTGTAGTAGGTTTTTAAAACTGAATGTCAGTGATGTCCAAGGTAATTTAAATATGGGGGTAATTTAAGTGTGTGGGTAATTTAGATATGTGGTTCCAACCACAATAAAACAAAAATGTAATGTAATGTAAAGTTGTGCTTTTGAATAGCTTTAGAAGCAATATCAAACACTCGGAAGTGTTCTTTATCTGGTTAGATACAATAACTTACTTCGGAAAAGAGTGATAGCTTGGGACCCAAACTAGGCGCGCGCGAGGACGCGAATGTAAACAAACATGGCGGAAAGCGAAGTGGAATGTTTCAGGGGAGTTCCTGAAGTTATTTGTACACAAAGGCACACAACAACTTGCATGTCTCGTCATTATTCAAGGTCGCTGCTCGACTTTTCTCCCAAAAAATCCCATGAATGCGCGCGCGCTTAGTTTTGGTCCCAGGCTATCACTCTTTTCCGGAGTGAGCTACTGTCCTTTTAAATAGACTTGTGGTGAGATGTTTATAATAAGCTGTCCTAGGTTTTGAGTCTGTGAGACAAATCGTAGTGTTTCACTTTTCAATCAGAACCCCTCAAGTATAAACTTTTGATTGTGTTTTTTTTTTTTCAAGTATTTCACTCAACGAAATTTTGAATTATTCTTGGGGAATAGAATGGTTCATTTCAATTCTTAGCTCTTGATTATACGAAGTTTTTTTCTCGTTGGAAATTGTTACACTTCCTTGTGTTTGTGCAGGATTCTGCCTAAATAGTTGGTTCTTTCTTTTTGCTGTAATTTAGTCTATCCAGAAATAAAGTAAATTGAGGCTTTACTCTGGTGATCGGTGAAGAAACTTGTACTGTTGTCCCATTTTGTCCGCTTTTTTTGCCGACAAATTTCTTAAATCCTAATGGAGGACGTCGCTGGCGTTGGCGATCGAGAACCCCATGGATGATAAAGCGACGACAGACATGTACATTTCAGTGGCGAATCCACCCTTATCCCACCCCCCCCGCCCTATTTTTAGACCAAACTGAGGCCCGAAGAGAATATAAAAGAGTCTGGATGACCGCCCACCCCTCCCCTATCTCAAGGTCTGGATCCGGCGCTGCATTTTGTTGCTTTCAACTTATCTTCTGTCGGAAACACCATACTCCCTCTCCTGCTAGGCTTCGCGCAGACGTCCTTATTTTTCCTTCTTATCTCTCACGCAGATCGCTTGTCGGCTTCGTTGACTAGAGATCTGGTAACGAGAATGTTTTCCCATTATTTTTTGTTTTTATTTATATTTTATTGATTTAATTTTTTCTTCATTGGATATTTGCTTTATCTCTTTCACTTTTGTGACCACAGTTTTAATTGGGCCACTTGTCAACATATAATTGCTTGAGCGCAAAACATTTTCAAAGTTGTTTACTCTTAATGGTCAATCGAATCCCTCTGAATAAAATACGAGTAGCTTGGCGTTTTTTTAAACGAAAGCTAAGAGGTATCGCGGCCGCCATCTTGAAAAAAATTGACCCGTCAACTCGTTCTTGGATTAATTTTTTGACTTGCCCTAATTCAATGCAAAATACGCAAGCTTTGCAGGCTATAATACGAGAAACGCCTGTGACCTTTGCCGATGCTATTCAATTGCTTTTCCCATTTTGGCTTCTCGATCCTACTGCGTAATTGCGCATCGATCGGGATAGAAACTAGATGAAGAAACAGGCTGGTGTTTTCCTACACATCCCGCCTCGCAAACATACATTCATTAGAAACTTGAAGGTCAAAAGAAGTGATTTCCTCATCGTAGTAGCATTTTTATTCCTTTTTTATTTGTTTTGAAAATATTTTATCCGCAAATTGCTCCCTTAAAATTTAACTTAAAATGAGCAGAAGGACATCGAGGTTGAGCAGCAGTTGTGTACAATTGTGTTTTTCTTTTTTCCCCTTTAATTTTATTCTTGTTGGATTTCCCATTGGTCAGTAACACGGATATCAACTTGTCAAACAATTGAAATCTCTTTTGAGAAAGCTACAAATTAAATATGGAGAAATATTTTAAGGCACAACATATCTTCAATTTTTTCAAATGAACTTTAAAGCATTCTTTGGAATAAGCGCCACCTATATGCAAATATTTCCTTGACGCTGAATTTTTTTTAATCTTGCATAAGGACAATTAGTTCAAATAATATATCTAGTATGCTCATGAAAGCCTCAGGGAAAACCTTAGGGAACGACGTTTGTCGGATTAATTCTATAGTTTGATTTCAAATCTATTTTGATTTCAAATCCCAAGCAATAAAAGTTACAGCCCTTTTTTCCAACTTCACATTGTCCATGATAACTTCGTATGTTTATTGTGAAGCCTGTATCTCTTTCTCCACCACAATGACTCCAATCTCCTCCGTCCTCCTCATTCCCTGTCCCTCAATCTCTTTCTCTTCTTCTGCGAAAACACGCACTTCTCTATCGATGGCATCCAAAGCTGGAGGCATGTCTTGCTTGCACTTGCTGTTGCCCGCCGAATACCCCTCCCCCTCCTTATTCCCGCCAGAGGGGGGATTGGGGTTTGGATTGGGATTGGGATTGGGAGCCGCCCCACCGCCTGTAATTGCCGCGGTCTTCAACTCATGAACCGTGCTGTACAGCTCCTTGGCAAATTTAGCCAGGCTGGCCAAGTGATGTGCGGCGTCTGGGAGATGGTCTTCGCCGATTGCTCTGGTCAGCTCATACAGCAAAATCTGCGAGTTCACTTTCTCCAGGTCCAGGACACCAACTTGCAAGTAGTAACAGAATGCGTTCTCATAATTATCTTTTAACCCCTTCGAGGAGAATTCGTACTTGTACATCATGTAGTCGAGACGCAAGAGGCTGTTGTTGGCGTAAATGACATGAAAGTCATTCTTTTCGGTTTCGCCGGCTGATGCGTTGCCCAAAAACTCGTTAAGAGCCACGCCGATCAAGCTTTTCAGCCCTCCAAGAAAATCTCCACTCAGCAGATCGTTGATGCCATCTGAGACATCGTTGGAAGGGGCGGTTCTCACGTGGACTTTGTATTTCTCGGATTTATCAATGACCGCTACAATGGGAAGGGTCTTGTCTTCAATCGCGTCGTTCTGCATTTTCGCTGATGACGAGGCAATCTTGTCGACCATCATATTATGGATCGTTTGAAGCTTTTCGACTGTTTCAGCCTCGTTTTTCTCTTGCTGTGCTTTAATCGTATCAACAATATTTCCCATTTTTTAATTGCTTACTTGTTTTCGCCCCTCGTTCTTCCCTTGACAGTCAGTTCTCTTAAAAGAATACCCTCCTTAGACATGCAGAGTAATTTAAGACTTTTTGAAATTATTTCCAAGTAAAATGCGGTGGTTGCCTGGTAAAGAGAATTTTGCACGCCGCATTTCTGTTAAACAATCATTGGAAAAATGGAGTTGCACTTCATTGAAAATTAACCTCTTTCAAAGAATAACGGTTATTCTCTGTAAGAGGTTGATTTTCAATGAAGTACAACTTCAATTTTTCACACATTTCTTAACGAGGACACAGGCAATTTTTTTCCAGGAGCAACACAATGAGAAAAGATATGAAAACGCAAGTCCTTAACAAACAGACCGAGTACTAGAACGACTGCTTTCCTATTTCAAGACGGACAATCACGATCCCCATTCCTTAAGAACTCGCTCTATTTTTATTTTCTTTCTTCTTTTCTTTTTAAAATAAACTTGTTTCTTTATTTACGTTGCAAAACGAAATGTAGCTATAACAAATGACAAAAGTTTGCGCTGTGTTAAATGATTTTAAAGCAGTGTTACAGTTTTTCAAAGTTTTGTTCACATGTTCACAGAATCGAAATTTGAGCACTGCATAACTGATTATACCATTATTATTCTAAGACTTCACAGAAATCATTGATATCTATTAACCAGAAGTGCATACCAGCAAAATACCGCCAGTTAATTTTTTTATTTGATACTACAAACAAATTAATTCTTCCAATTCATCTTAGGCTATGCACACACCATAACGGTTAGCTTCTCGGTCTAACACTAAAATCTATCCGGTATGGTATGAAGGCCTATTCGATATGTGATACGTGACTCTCCACTTAGATCTGCGCGACGGTTCTACGCTCCGTTGAGAAATCGCGCCGAAATCACAGTTCGTATGTGTGAACGGAACCCTGATCCGGTTTGGTTTTCGTACACGCCAGGGCTAAAACTATCCAGTATAATGAACATAGCCTTCAACAGCAACTGTGGAATGCTTGAAAATGGACTTATGCTGCCAAGGTACGAATATCAAAAGAAAAATCAATTAACTGTTTGTCTAAGGACGTTTCGTGATAAATGCCTTTTTAGTCACGATGTTTGGTATTCAAACGAGGATGTAATTTTCTGCAAAAAAAAGTTGACTCAAGCCTTTTATATCTGAGATGGCATTTTTCAAGAAATAATGGCAACAAATAATTATATCAAATCTAGTAATGACCTGCTCATTAGTATGAATATCAAAAAAAGGTACAATTAGTTTTGAGAGAAGCATTGGTTGTCTTTCAATTTCGAATAAGACAAATTTGAGGCTTTTGTATTTTTACAGTTGTTGCGTACTTCATGGGAGACTTGAGTTCCTATGGTGCTATATACTGAAGCCAAAGTAAGGCTTTTATTTATTTTATTTTTTTTTTCAAAGAAAGAATCCTTTTTTACAATTAAAAAGGGGCGGGCGTGTGCTTAGTACTTACTCCAAGGATAGGTAAAATATCATAAGACCATTTTATTTAGCCAGGTCTCTAACCAACACTTCTAAACTCCATGCAACTGGAACTGGAGTATACACTTGTTGAATTAGTTCTCTTAAGAGCACCTCGGGTGTTTGGTGATAAACAGATTTACCTTAAATTGTGCAAAAAGCGCGGCCATTTCTGTGCAATGCTAGCTACAGGGGCACCCAACGGGAAATTTTGAGAAAAAGACCTAAAAATAACAACAAAGCGTGAATAAAGTTTTCTGAGACTATTTTAAGCATTTGGGTGATTGCTGGAAAAAAATTATCTGTTCCTCACTCCCAGCAAGACCGATGGAAGAACCTGAATTATCTTTTTCCCAGCAACACTTTCCTTCCAAGGGCTATTATTTCTTCCACATCTCCCAGCCAGCAAAAATGTGCCTGAAGAACAGATATTTTGAGGAACAGATCCATTGGGTGCCCCTGTAGCTAATGCTATTCTATAGATACAGGTGCTAAGAAAAACTCATCTGTCGAGCTCAACGCATATTTTACCGGCCGTCGGTGTCTTCCTATTCTGCCTATAAAGCTATAAGATTACAATAACTGCAGGCAGAAGTTATAATCGGCTTTGCAAATAAGCGCTGATTAAAGTTTTAAATGCTAAGAACAATAACAGGTGTGGTGTTTTTATCTCCAAAATAAGTGAACGCTCCGAAAGGATGTTGTATAATACTGAGGAAGATTATAAGAATTTTTCCTTTATCTAAAAAACTAAAAGGGCGAATTTTGACTTCGACCATGAGTACTCCCTCGAGCTTATTATTCTCAGTGATAATAAAGCGAGTCAGGGTGGGCGAAATACGCGAGTGCGCGGGAAAATTGCCATCAGCGAAGAAAGTGACACCAAGAAGTAAGACTGGTGTTCTTCCCTCCGCGTGTCACCTTCCTCGTGAGTGACGCGCGCTGCTGTGTTTTTTTTGTCGCTGAAGGCAATGAAAATTACTCATAGTCTAACTTGTTTCTCAAGGAAGACGTTTTTTCACGAAAGACACGATACGTGTTAAAAATTAAATTTTGATCATTTCAATTAAAGACTATTGGCGGCTTTACATTAGTGCCAAGACGTGTTCACGCTTACTCGCGTCTTCCCTGAAAAACTCGCACAAACACGATGCATTAAAATTTTGGCGTTAAATTGTGGCACAACCCGGCGCTTCCCAAATTAGGGGCTAGTCGAGTCGAACATAGCTGTCAAACTCTCTTAAAGTAACAACGGTTTTCCATTGAAATAAACACCCATTAAAAGTCATCGTAAAGTCTGCAGCCAACGAAGACTACAATTAAGTCATAATTCAGAAACTCCCATAAAGTGGTATAATTAAAGTTAACGAGTGTCTATTGAAAAAACAGCCATTTGGAGTCATTGCACAGAGTCTGCAGCAGACAAAGACGAATGCAATTAAGTGACCCAAACGTGTTGATCACTTTTTCATTTCTGAAAGGTACCTTTGAAGTATTCAGACAAGATAAACAGTGGAATATTCGAAAAAAGAGGTACGCTTCCATGGTGAGAAGGACCAATTAACTCTGTATTCAGTGGCCAAGACATTGGCAGACAGCTTTGACCAAAAAATAAAACAAATCCGAAACTAACTTTTAAAAATTTTCTGCGGATTGGCACGTCATGCCACGTTTAAACGTTAGCCTTTTCATCATTAAAACATTTGCTAATACTGAAAAAATTAAGCTTACGACAGTTAGCTTGTTCGAAAAAGGGGATGTTTTAGAAAAATAACCGAAGTTTTTCGGTCTAGCAATGAATTACCGAAGTTTTATCATTTGCGAACTCCGCATTTTTTAGAGTATAATTAGACATAAGACTAATATAAGACAGTTTTTTTAACTATCTGACATAACTGAAAACAATTGCTGAGTTCAGTTCGATTTACATAATTCATTTCTACTCTTTGAGCGTCTATTGATGTAACTTCAGACAAAGTATTACAATTGGATTCAGAAGAGTTGTTGATTAACTTTTAATGCTAAACTAAAATCCAAATTAGAGCACCCATTTTTAACGCCACGGCGTATCGGCGGAAAGGGAAAATTGATGTCCTGTCATAGTGATTTTTTTAAAGTATAGTTTAACTCTGCTGCATGTACACTGTTGCGAGCTTGTTAATTCTAGTTCAAAAACGCAGACACACCCAACTGGAGAAAACAAATTAAATATAGTATAAATTATCAACTGGGGAAAATAGTTCCATAAGACACCTTTAAACGCGTGCTTGGCAACATTTTTCTATCTCAAAAAATTCGTCACATTTGATCAGTTTTAACCAATAGTACTCAGTGAGTCCCCAAATTCGGAATTCTCCAAAGGGTTATTGAAATAAAAGGATGCCCTAAAAGTCATTTAAACTCGTTTATCTGCCTGGCGCAGAGATAAAACGGCTCAATCCGGCGGGCTATCAGCACTGAGAGTCACATCGCCAGTTATCGTCTTGGCGGTTTTATTTTAAAAGAAAGATGGGGAACTCTATCACACAAAGCATCAAGGAGCAACAAGAAAAGAATGAGTTAGAAGTGACGGAAACTCTTCAAATGATGCATAGGATGATGGAAAATAGGATTGCTGCTGCATCTTCTCAGGTAGGCGCGAAAAATGGGTATCATCGGACCATCCGAACTAGAACTCGGAGGGTCGTGAGTTCGACTCTCACATGGAACTCGGAATTTTTTCTGAGCTTTCTGGTGTTTGACTTCTCCTTTTTCCGGCCCAAATTTGATGCAAACTACAGTTCCACTTTTTGATTATGCCAGTAGAACAAGTCTTGGGGTGCGTGCGACCCCTTGAATGAAAGCTATTGGGCAGTATTTTCTTATAGTATTGGGCCAGGTTCTTGGAAGGCCGATTAGCATTAATCCAGGGTTAAAATTTGTTCTGTTTTAGTATTTTACCTTCCTATGTATTGCTAAGAGTAACATTTTCTGTTATAATTACTGTGTTTTAGAGTTAACGCTCAACAGTGAAAGCACGAGTTGCCAGTTCTTAGACAAGAAAACCTTCCTTAAAAACTTCACTTAATCGTGGGTTAAACTTAACCATCTTTGGAGGAACCAGGCCCTGTTTATAAAGTGTGAAGGTTCAAACAAATTTTTCAACAAGTGTTTTCCGGCCTAAGCTGCAATTGTTAATTACAAGCCGAGGTGTTCTGCTTGAGCTTTCCAGCCTGTGACTTGAATTTCTAAAATAGTGTGGGGCTGTATCATCCATTGTGCTGCACAATGCCTTTTTGAGTCTGTAGATTTAATTCTGTAAATTTTACCGTTCAAATGATTGCTACAAGCCTTAATGTCTTGCTTTGGTACAGTTCTAAGCCTCCTGCGCGGGCAACTCCTATTGTAACAGTTACTCCCCGTTCTCTCCCCATTCTCCCACTCGTTCTTTAAAACAGGACAGTTTCGACAGTGAAGCCTGCGGAGGAGGCTAGTACTGTTCATTACCTCCTAGCTTGCATGACCGTGGCGTTCTTCAATATTTTCCACAGGGGAATTTCATGAGACTGCCGAAATGTAAATAAGGTGGCTATTACCGTACAGTGCTGATTTTATCAAAAAAGACATGTGCGATGTTTTGGTGTTACTTTAAAAAGACCCTAAAACTGACATTGGTCCCTACGGCCGGGAGGCCCCGCCCGAAAGGGGCGGGGATTTCTTTTGTTGAAGTATATGAAATGGTAGGGGAATCTGTCATTTCGGTCTGCAAAAATAAGGCCCAATAGGGCTAACTATGAGATGCATACCTGTGATAAGGTCGAGAAAACATTCTAATTTATTCACATTTAAAGACGGTGCATTCACAGCAGTTAAAAGGGAAGCAAAAGTCTAAACTAGGTCAGTGTAAAAGGGGTACCACTTGTCAAAAGAAGGTATACGAAAGGAGTATCTTTTCTGTTAAAAAAAATGGTCAAGAGCCCATGGGTTCCTTAAATGGTACATAAAATTATAAAGGGTTGGACCTCAGGGAGGAGCCTCCACGTATAAACCTTTGTAAAGTACCCTCGGGCTTCTCTCTCTCTCTCTGACATCGCCTTTCTTTAAGTTCTCTTTGCTCAGTTTTTCCTTATATTGTCCTGTCTCATCTCATCTTGGATTCTTGCTGCTTTCTTTTTCTGTTGATTAGATGGAGAACGAAGCCATAGAAGACAAGACTTTGCCAATAGTAGCAATAGTGGACAAATCAATGAAATACTTGATAAAGGTTTCCAGCAAAACAAGCGACGAGGTGTCAAACGCCATCGATGAAATCTTAAGCGGCGATTTCCTTGCCGGCCTCAAGAGTGTCATTAAAGTTGGTCTGGATGCGATGCTTGGAAATGTGTCAGCCGGGATAACGGAGAAGCGAGACTTCCACGTGGTGTTCGCCAACAACAGCCTTTTGCGAATCGACTACATGTGTTACAAAAACGAATTTAGCTCCACAGGGATCAAAGACGAGGTTAAGAACGCTTTCTGCTACTATCTGCAAGTTGGCGTCCTGGATTTAGAGAAAGTAAACCCACAGATTCTGCTGTACGAGCTCACGAGGGCCATCGGCGAGTCCATGCTTCCTCAGGCGGCCAAACATCTACAGGGTCTTGCTACGTTTGCCAAAGATCTTTACAAGGTGCTCAACGACCTCGACAGGGCCGCAGTTGGATCGCTAGAGGGCGCACCGTCCAAACCAAACACGTACACTTTCAGCACCAAGGAGAAACAAGAGATAAAGAAGAAAGCCCTTTTGGCCCGTTACCACAATCACAAGCATACACCATTCTTTAAACGACCACCGCCGAGTCGACCATCATCTCCATCGCCACCCGGACCTGGGCAAGGTCAAGGTCAGGGTCAGGGACAAGGGCAAGGACAAGGTCAAGGGCAAGGACAAGGACAAGGCCAAGGCCAAGGCCAAGGACAAGGACAAGGACCAGGACAAGGACAAGGTCAAGGTCAAGGTCAAGGACAAGGACAAGGGCAAGGGCAAGGTCAAAACCAAAGCAGTTAGATGTGGAGCGCTATACCATGTGACGAAAAAACACATGAAAATGGGTTTTCTTTATATTATGGTCAAACAGAAACTCGTTAATATCTTAGCTTGATTATTGTAATGTTAGGTTTAAAAAGTAAATTTAATTAGACGTTCTCACCGCGCCGGCCTCAGGCCTGCCGGCCGGACTGACACAGAATTTTTGATTTGTTCGTAAACGCATACAACGTTACACGTTTTAAGCCTTTTTCTGATTCTTTCAAGATTTGTAATTTGAAGAAAGAGTTGTTCCTGTTCCTCAGACAGCTTTTACTTTAACGGCTTCGTGTGTGGCCCGGAGGGGACACTATCATATATGGGCTAGGTAGGGCATGTATCGCCCGATGTTGTGTGTTTTTTTCAGTAAGGTCTCTATCTTTATTTTGCCCTCGTTAGCGATGCAATCCCGGTTTGATTTGGATAGGTTATCGTGCCGTTATCATATCAGCTAAAATTCACTGAGAAACAAATCATCTGTTAAAACTGGACTTCACCTTGAGTTAAATTTAACTGTGAAATTCGTAGTTATACTGATTTTCATTTTTTAGGTTTGGGCCTTAAATAAGACACGTATCCGAAATGTTTGGGAGTACCCTGGTCCCGGACCCCCTGGGTAATTGTATGGACACATCCGGTCCACATCAGTGGCAGTTATCCCTTACGGGTCCCCAATAGGGTTCTTCAATCCCGTAATCCCGACCCAAAAATTCAAGGAATCCCGTAATCCCGATGATTATTTTTGGCATCACACCTCCGGGCATACTTTTAATCCCGAGTCTAGCCCCGATTTTGCTTTCAAATCCCGAATCCCGAGCTTCAAAGAAGGGAAATCCCGAATTCCGAGTTTCAAATAAGGGAAATCCCGGATCCCGAAAAACCTATTGGGGGCCTTCTCCTTTCAATCCTTGTTCAAACCTTGTTGTTGCCAACGTGAAAGATCCTAGGAATGTGCAGAATCCCTAAGAAACAGATTGTACTATGTAAAAGTTCTGCTGGACTGGTCACAGTTTCGTATTATCTCGGTAAGATCGTCTAGATCCCGGCGTGCGCCCGATGCAACAGGCGGCAGGTTCAAACTGTCTGCTGCCCTAAAAGTAGATTTGACCCGGCACTGTTGATACTCTTTCCCAGACAATGATTGGGCATGAAATTAAATTTGAAACCAAATGGCTGCTTCAAGAACGGTAAAGGGCGATGACTGAGCTCGACGAACTAAACAGTCTAAAGTCAGGAGTACACAACAACGACCATTTTTCACAAAATTGATTATACAATGTCGTTAACGCTAGCAGAGTGCTTTTAGTTCAAGCTAGGTTAATATTTAACTTTCCCGGGGGAAAAAAATACCCTCTCTTCACTGCTAGCTAGCAAGACTTTTAGAAAATAAAAATCCCAGTCAGCAATCATGTGTGACTGTTTTTAGCAAACCAGCACGGTTAAAGTTCTGCCAAAAAGGTTTCATTAGAATATACTGAGTATGACAGTAAAGGATTTAGTCAACAGCTTATTGAAACTTTACTTTTCCAAATGTCACTCATGACCAATAAATGAACTCTTGATCAACTAATTATTGTTTAAGTAATGTTTGTCGTTACTGAGAATGTTTCAATCTACACTTTGCATAGATAGCTAAAAAATGTTTTTATACATTTTGTATGGCTCAGCTGCCTTAGAAATAGGCTCAAGACATTCCTTCAGGCAGTTCCTGCGATAGATACCACCCTAAGGCATCGCAACTCGGACTTATTACCCCGTAGTCTGCTACACAGCCGTTTTTAGTGTCGTCACGCAACGCTCGGAGCGTTGCGTGACGACACTAAAAACGGCTGTGTAGCAGACTAATTACCCCGCGGCGACAGCTAATAAGGAAAGCGGAAATTACCGCTTTCATATACCTTCTATTGACAAATGGTACCCCTTCACATACCTAGTTTAGAACTTTGCTTCGCTTTTAACTGCTTAAAGTATGAATAAACAGTGGTGGATCCAGACCTTCAGATAAGTGGGGGGGGGGGGGGGGCATCCAGACCACCTGGGATAAGGGGGGCGGTCTCAAAAAAAAATGTTTGGCCTTTCGGCCCTTAGTTTGGTCTAAAAATAAGGGGGGTCGTCACCTGGATCAGCCACTGATAAATCACATTTAGCAGGGCTTTTTTCGACTTTTTACAGTTAACAAAAAGTCCCTCCCTTGGAGTTATAGGATAAGACATTTAGCAAACTGCAATCAAGACCTATTGCATACCAAGACTATAGAATCTATATTTGAAGTGTTGTAAATTAGGATTTTAGGGCAATACATTTTCCCCCCTCTCTATTTTCTTGCATTTCAGCGAAGCATTGTTGTCTCACTATTTCTTCATGTTGCACTCGATTCGATTTCCGGAGCGCGGGCTCATTTCCCGCTCAGCGGCTGGTATCGAGCAAAGATACAGTAGAACCCCTCTCTCTCTTCCACAGGGGCCTGTGTGCAGACCCCCCTCCCTCAGAAAAAAATTGGAGGGGAGGGGGTGAGGCGGGGTCTGTACACAGCAGGCTACGGAGGAGGGAGGTGGAACCACGATTTAACGAATCTCTACATGATATTCCTAGCCCCATTAATAATAAAATACAGCCATTCCTGGACTCTACCATGAGCTGTGACGTCACCGAGAGATACTCGCCGCTCTCTCCCAGACTTAGCGCGGACAACGGATCAAGAGAGAAGAGAGAACTCTTAGGGACTAGGCTGAATAAAATAATAAGTACCTCGATATAACGAATCTCGATCGTTATAGAGAACAAATTTTGCCAGTCCCTTGGCCCTTAGTTATATCGAGGTTCCACTGTAAGTACTTCTACCCAAGCCAGTATCGTAAAATGTTAAAAAGTTAAAGGTTAAAAGAATCTTCAAGTACGTGCGATCTCGATATTTTAACCTAATTAGAACTGAAACGTGCTGTCTGCGACTCCCACAATACATAACTTGCTTTCCTAAAACTCCACTTTAAATATCTTCTTAATCGATTTAAAGTTTAGGAGCTCAAAAAGACTGGCGCCAATTAATAGTATTAACGAGTCTACAATTTTGGCAACTCTTAGAGGTTTTTGAACTAAAAAATAATCGTTATGATAAGTCAAAATAGTTTGGAAAAATGTCAGTGATTGAGTAAATAAACAATTTTAAATGTCCAATTTCACACCGACTGCGTTAATTAAAACTAATGGAGGCAGAGTGCCAAGGACAAGCAATCCGAAACTGTTTTGGAACCGTTTTAATTCACCCTTCAAATGTCTAAAATAGTTTTCCAATCTTTTAGTTATGCCTTTCGCCGACTGAAAGGTACATTAAGGTGAAAAGTGTACAGTTTTTAAGCTCACCAGAGAGAAAGGAGAAATATTACTGTAGCGTTTCTGGTGCTTTTCCATCACAGTCAGACTCCAGTCAGGGTTACTTGTTGTCGGTGTTTGGAGGAGCCTGATGGGAGGGATAAGGCAAAATTGAAAAGGCACTGAAAATAATAATGCCTCAGACTTGCAAAATTAGCCACAATCTAATCAGGGCCAAACCATAGAACTTCTCGATAGTTGAAAAGATTAGGACTAGACATTTCCTCTTCTTTAGTTATAGTTCAAACTAACAACTTACTAAAATTCCTTACAATAAATCCTTTGATCCTGTTACAGCTGATTGACGACGAATTTTTGATATCTTCTTTAGGGTACACCCAGGAAACCTAAAAGTTTACATGACGGATTTTTCAGCCTTTTTTTATTGGTGGTTTTGAGAATAAGGGAAGTCGATGGGAACCGAGAATAACTGAATTTAATTAGTACAATAAATGGTAATGGGATCTCTAAGTCTTTAGCACATTGAATAGTATGACGGCCCTTGGTGTCGAGCGGGAATGCTTCAACGTAAGCTGGACTAAATCCGACCGAAGCGGTAAACGGGAGGGGGTTGAGGGACAGGGAAGCAAGAATATTGTTCCGAAATGTAGCTGACCATTATCTGGTATCAACTTGCGATTAATTAATTGTAAACCAATGCAGTTTTTGCTGTAATAAATGGAAAAAGGGAAGAACAATGTTGGCCCTCAACAGTCGCTCTCCCAGCTTTGAGTAGCACTTCAGTCTTTGATAAGCACTTCCTCTTAGTTTAAAATGCACTATGCGACGCTACGGTGCCGGAGGTTTACCAACAAAATTTAAAAGAAACTGCTATGCTTCCATAGAAAAAAGAAATCACGCTTAAATTTACTATACACCCTCACTGAGGAAAATGTTCCTTTGCTCCAGTGCCAGCCGGCTTGCAATTAAGGAGTTTATTTGTATGCTACAGTGACGAGTGAGTATCTCAACAGTGCTAAGATCCGACGGCTGAGTTTCAGTTGTGTTTGCCTGCATTCAATCATCGGTACATGTTTTTATGAATATCAAGCATAACACTTGTCTTAAAACACTTCTATTTTTGCCGATCAAGCTGTTGCCTTTAACAGGTGCATGTCACTACGCACATCAGTGAAATTCAATCAAATTACATTTTCCTTGTAAACAACTTCACTGAAATTTGTGGAACTCAGCTTAGGTTTAATATCCTGTTTATTTTCAATAAACAGTTTTCTGAAATACTACGGGCCACATAAGAGAGTGTCTGGGTTAGGTTTCAAATCGAAAATGAAGGTGTTTTTTATACATGCAAAAATATTGTTTAAAGGTTGGACAGCTTTTTGATTATTTCTACTCTAGATTGCGTTCCTTTTATGGATGTGCTGTGATGCACAACTCGAGACAGCAAAAAACTTCCTGTCAGCGGTGGTCAGACCCAAGCCAATTAACAGTAAAAGTAATCGTGAGTTTTATAAGGGATTAAATTGAGTAACGTTTTAGCATCTCCGTTTGCTGTCGTTTTGCTAAGAATTTTGTATTACTCAAAAAGGCAATTTTTA